TTTTGCTTGATCTGAGTGACCCAACAGTCAGTTCTGAAATGCTGGATCTTATCACGACCGTCCTCGTAGCTGCACCCTCAAGGAGAGTCCAAAAAGTACTGCAGCTGCATTCCATAGCAACAGTCCAATTCTACTAGTTTTCATCTCCACATCTTTATTGCAGTTAATGGCAAAAACAAAAACAAGTCACCTCTAAATGCTTTGCATTACAACAGGGGAAGCTCAGAGCAGTGTATTTTTACTGGAAAAAGCCGCTTTCTCTCTCTGCTGCTGACCTGGGTGTGCACAATCACAGAGGAAACATAAGCCACAGTGGTTGAACTTTCCTTCCTAGGCATGCCAGCCCTGAGCAGCCAAAGTTGTGATTGTGATGTCTGAACCCAGAGAGGGTGAATGGATTGCTGGAGTGTTATTATGGACCCCCCCCCCACCACCTCCAGGACTTCAGGGTAGTTTGTAACTCACTCGAGCCAGCTACCCTCAGCAGGTCTGGCTATAGTAATCAGGTTGTGAAGGTAATTAGACAGCTCATGTATAGCAGGGGAGAAAAAAATAAGCCCCTAACTGACTTATTTTCCTCTGGTATAATGCCTTTCACTGGGAACTGGTGGCTTCTCTTATTTCTGTTTCTCTGGTCCTAGTGGTCTGCTCCCTCCCACCACTTCGGACTATCTGGTGTTATAATTGCATGCACAGGCTCACCCCCTGTTTGAATTCCTCCCTCCCTGCTCCTCCACCATTAAACATGATCTACTCAGGGCTTCCTCAAGCTTTCATGACCTTCTAGAAGGTTCAAAATTAATTATTCCCTCCAGGGTTTACTTTACAGAGTTCTAAAGAAAAAAAAAGGGAGAACTAATTGGCCTGCCTACATAGCTATGTATCAAACCAGCATGTCAAATCACCTTTGCTAAGCTGGAAAGGCTCAGGCCTGCAGCTGGATGGGTGACCACATGTGGAAGCAGAGCATGGAGTTGGACTTGGTGGCCTTACAACCCTTGCCAACTCTCCTCTCCTCTCCTCTCTCCTGTTCTCTTTCTCTTCTCTTCTAATTGGGCAAATGGAGCCATGTTTGTGCTGTATAAATGCCGATGTATCTGCTTTTCTGAGTTGTGTGTGATGTTGCATCTCAGTAGATGAAACCTCTTGCCAAATTAAATATTCATTTGGACTAAACTTCCCCATTTATACATATTTGGTAATTTGTGTTCTCTTGTTCCACTGGGTGTTTTGTGTGCGCATCCTTACTTTGGGAGGAAAAAGATTGAAGCCAGCTTTTCTGCACACAGACAAGTGCAAACGCAACAGTTGGCTTCAAGGCTGGGGTCAAGAGTAGGCTCGGTCGTGCAACTCTCGGGAGTCCCGGGGAGCCACCTAGTCTTGCCTCTGCTCCTGACGCCTGCTCTCCTGGCTCCGGGCTCTCACCTGATGGTGAGAAGGGGCACACGCTTTGCCTGCGAAACAAGCAATTGGTAGCAACGAGGAGGAGAGGGCAAGACTCAGGCAAGGAGCCCTCAGAAACCTGGAACCAGCACTGATGCATCCATACACCCCATGTGCAGAAGGAGAAGGACAACCTTTCACTGTTGAGGGTCACCATCTCTGCAGGAGTCTGCGAAGAGCCACACATAATCTCTCCCCCGCCCCCGCCACTTCCTATCTCTGCCTTTTCTTCCCTCTCCTCATCTTCCTCCTCATCCAGCAGTCTGCCTGAACACAGGCTTTAATCTTACCAGAACTCCGAACTGATCACTTACAGAAAGCTTTGGAAACTGGGACAAGGGCAGCCTGAAATTAAGCCAAGGAGCATATGATAGATAGAGAGACATCATAGAACAGTAGAATTGGAAGGGGCCATCAGAGCCACCCCCTTGTTCAGTACAGGGTTCCCTCCAGTGTGGAAAGAGCCCACAACCTCCCTGGGTCATTGACTCCATTGCCGTACCGCTCTAGCAATCAGACTATTTTTCCTGATATCTAGCTGGAATCCAGCTTCCTGTACCTTGAGCCCATTATTCTGTGCTGTGCATTCTGGATGGAGTGAGAAGAGATCCTGTCCTTTTTCGTGACAACCTTTCAAATACGTGTCCATCATTGGTGAATACTTGTTCACGTTGACCCTCTAAAGAGAAGACAAAGGGGCAGCCTGGGCCAATAGCTGAAAAGGCTTGGGTCAACGCAGGCTGGAGAACCAGCAAGACTTTGTCTGGCAGAACACAGTGGGAGACCTTGAGAGCAATGAACCAGTGCAGTGCAGTATTCTGCACAGTGGACTTCAAACCACGTACACGTGGGCACAAACCCTGCTCAGTCCCAAGCTCAGTGGGTGATCTGTGGTCAGTCACTATCTGGGAAGAAGAGCTTTGCTCCGATTTGTCCCCACATGTGAGCTAAATGGTGTGGTAAGAGCACATCTCCCAGCTGCTTCTGACATCTCCATTTTTGGTGCAATGCCCAAAAATATAAGAGCCCTGTTGCATCACATCAGCGTCCATCTAGCCCAGCATTTTGTTCTCATGGTGGCCAACCAGCTGCCTATAGAGAACCCACAAGCAGGACATGACTGCAAGAGTACCTTCCCACCCATCTTCCCCTTCTAATACTGGAAGCAGCACGCAGCCATCAGGACTGAGAGTCATTCACCCACATAGTCATGACCGCCACAGGCACGCAGAGGCCATCTTCCAATGTTGTGCCAAATAAGGAAATGCCAGAGGGCAGTCAGTGGCTGGAGTGGTCCAAGAGCCGTGATTCCCCTTCCTTCTCAGAAGTTGTGTCCAGCACTATAGAGAGGGTTCAGCACCATAGATAGCTCCTGTAAACTCCAGAGTAATGGCGTGGCTTCACCCGCCCATTGGAGCCACCATCCCTGATCCAAGGCATCGCTACCTTTTTTTATTCAATGAGCAGCAGCTTCTTGGCTCAAGTGCATCAAGTCACCACACCTGTGGTGCGCCTGTCCTAGGCTGGACAGGTGAGCATAAGCAAGGTTTCTGATGCCCAACAGTTTAACAGTAAGAAGTGTCATCCTTTCTGCCACGGCTGCTCTTATGCTACATGCTGATTATTCAGCCTTGGTATCCTTCGCCTGTAAAATATGAATATCGATTGCCCATGCAGCATTTAGTAAATGTGTTGGTGGATGTGCATGTATTTAATGTGTACATGTAACCAGTGAATGGTTCATAGGGTGGCACTGGTGACTGAGCTGCACGAAGGGCGAGTGGACACCCTGCTGAAAAGCTAGTGGGCTCAGGGGCTACACAGTGCTGATCACTGAGGACGGGGACAAAGAACCAGGTGGGAGGAGCAATGGGGACCTTGGCTGAAACAGGAGCAAGCGATCCAGCAATGTTTGGCGGCAAGGGCCACTCCTTCCATGTGAATTGCATGCGCCCACGTGCCTGCTGGAGTCCGTGGAGGCAGGAGATGCTCAGCTGAATGGGCCATGGTAGCAGGCCAGTTATCCCGGTTACCTCGAGCATAATCCTCTGTGCTGGAGGGATCTCACACAGCAGGCACGCTGTCCGTCACCACACGCAGTGTAGTCGAAGGCAGAGAGAGAAGTTTTCTCGACACACCTCTGTGAGTTCACAGGCACGTTTGTGCCATGCTGGCTGCTGGTGGGACATGCCACAAAGGGAGACTTTGGTATTCTAGAAGAGAGCAATTTGCTAAGGGACGACAAGGACATTTGTAGATGGCTCCAAAGATTGTCTAGTCTTCAGTGAACCCAACGCACCTTTGGGTTGGCCAAGTGGCGGGCAGCCTCAAGCTGCCTTCAAATGTTTGGGCCTGCAACTCCCATCAGCCTGAACTAGCACAGTCAGCAGTGAGATCATAGGCCATCTGGTGGACACTAAGTCACCATCATGGTGTAACCAGTGGCTCTTTCGCACTAGAGAGCCTCGCAGCAAACTTGTCAGATATAGCTTCTTCCAAAGAAATTCAGATATAGTAGAAGACCATGTTATTAAAGAAAAGTGAAGAAGATACATTTTGTAAGCCAAGGCCTATCTTCTGTGAATCTGTGTATCCATCTTTGCCTTGTTAAGCACCTTCTTTCCTGAACCATGGGCAGATGGGAAAATTTTTGCACTTCTTCACATGTAGCAAGATTTCCTACTTCTTCCCATTTCCAGGAAATGCATAAGTGTGAGCCTGTTTGTGAGGGCTACCCAGGTGTTTATGACAACTGTAGCAGCTCCACCAATCTCCACCCTCCTCTGAGACCTATTTGCTCATCTAGCAAATTACAACCTTCAACTATATGGAAAGGAGGAAAATATGCTAAACTGCACTGGAAGCAAAGTGGGGAGGGGGGAGAAGAGGGGCATTCAAAGAAGGAGTTGCAACCACCTTTTTTTCCATTAGCATTTTGCTAGTTTACTGCAGGAGGCTGAGTAATTTATGCATGCTTGGAGCTATAAGAGACAGCCGACCAAAGCAAGGTACATTTTCAATATGACCTTTATTGAGCACGGACTGCTGTGACTGCTTTACATCGAACAACAAAAGGTTGTATACTGTGCATGTCAAAGTAGGTTCTCCCATGAAGAAAAGTCCATCTTATTTGCACCAGTGAGGTAAACATAATTATTAAGTAGCTTAAGGCTAGGAGAGTTCTGGGTATTATAATTATTTTTTCATTCATTCTTTTCTTAGTATTTGCTTGTATTTGGCTCAGTTGTTTCTTTGCATCTTAAGACGTTCCTCAGAAGTGTCCCATCAGCAGCTTCCTCTGTAAGAATAACAGCTCATGCATTGAATTTTATTTTTAATTCCCCAAGTTCTGCAGAGGGAGCGCATCAGGCTTGCATGCATTCCCCACCACCCCTGGGTATTGCACAGAAATAAATCAGAAATTAAATAGTGTTTCTGGAGACTCCACGAGAGAACCCATTCTGCTTAGAAGCCGTCACTTACATGCATTTTGCAGCTGTCATATGGCTTAACCTTTTGCACCGACCCAAGCTCTTTCGAAGGAAAACATGATTATCCTAGTCGCTCTCTTTAACTTCTTTCACTACAGCATGTGAAGAAGTGACTTTCTCTACCTTCTTGGTGGATACCAGTTTCTCTGCAACAGTTTCTTCATGCTCTTCCATCTTCTGTGTGACAGTCACAGACTTCGTGATGTAAGTGGTGGTCCCAGCATCCCCTTCACTAGTGATTTTTTCTACTTTTTTGGTTACCACAACTTTCTCTTCACTCTTCCCTTTCTTCTCTTCAGTGGGGCTTATGTCCAGACCATTAGTGACAACACCTTTATCTTCTTCTTCTATTTGCTTGGCCTTCGAGTCTTTCTCTACCTCCCCTTTGTCCTCCACTTCTCCATTCACGGCTATGTCTTCTTTGGTGGAGTCCTTGGAGACCTTCTCACTTTTTTCTTTCTTCTCTACCTTCAGTTCTTTCTCTGAGCCAACTTTTGCTGCCTTGGTGATTGAGATGGTTTCTTCTACCTCTTTCACTGGACTCCCTGCCTTCTCTGGAGACGCAGCTTTCTCTGGAGATGCAGCTTTCTCTGGAGATGCAGCTTTCTCTGGAGTTTCAGCTTTTACTGGAGAGGACGGTTTCTCTGGAGATGCAGCTTTCTCTGGAGTTCCAGCTTTTTCTGGAGATGCAGCTTTCTCTGGGGTTGCAGCTTTTTCTGGAGATGCGGCCTTTTCTGGGGTTCCAGGTTTCTCAGGAGTGCTAGGTTTCTCAGGAGACCCTTTCTCAGGGGTCCCAGCTTTCACAGGAGAGGCTGCCTTCTCTGGAGTCCCTGCTTTTTCTGGTGATGCTGCTTTCTCTGGAGAACCTGCCTTTGCTGGGGAGGCTGCTTTCTCCTCTTCTTTTGCTTCCTCTTCTTTCTGTTCTTCTTCCTTCTCATCTCCACCTTCCTTACTCACTTCTTTTGCCTCTGCTTCATCTGCCACAGGAGATTTAGGTGGAGACGCTTTGGCCTTTTCTACCTTGGCTGGTGTGATGGTCTCCTCCCCCTCTCCTTCAGCTTCTTCAGCCTCCTCTTCTGCCTTGCTCTCACCTGCTTCTTCCTCAGCTTCTCCCTCACCTGCTTCTTCCTCACCTTCTTCCTTTTCACTCTTTTCTTCTTCTTTTTCAGATCCCCCTTCTTCTGCCTCATCAGATTTTGCTTCTTCTTCTTCCTCACCCTCTTCTTCCTCTCCTTCTTCTCCAGCTTCTGGTGCTGCTGCTGCAACCTTGGCTTCTGCTTCTGCCACAATTTCCTCTTCTACTGCTTCTCCCTCCTCTTCCTCCTTCTTCTCTTCAGGCACAGCTCCACCAGCCAGTTCTTCAGCCATGGCTGCAAGAGCTTCATCTAGTTCAGATTTCTCATCTTCTACTTTTGTCTCTTCAATTATTTCTTCTACAAATTTGTGCTGGACCTTTAGCTTTGCAGGTTCAGCTTTTGCTTTCTGTATTTTGCTAGTTGATATTGTTACAGAAGGTTGCCTATGTGTGAATGTTGGCCCAGTGATGCTTCCAGAGAAAGCACTGAATCTTGTCTCTTCACCCTCAAGAAGTTTCCTAGGGAAACACAAGCAGGGAAATTAATAGCCATATATAGTAACCAATTCCACATATGAACACAACCAGCTGCCTCTGCTTGCTGCAATCACTTAAAAAAGCTACCCTGAGTAACTTGAATATAGAACTCTTCCTTCTTGTATCTTATAATAGCAGTGCACCTGGCTCTTCTTCTCTTCCAAAAACACTTTGCTGAGATAAGGGGCACCACTAGAAAACCCAGAGGAGTGGGAAGGTAATGAAGCCTGCGGTCCTGTCACCACTTTCCCGCAGTAAACTTCACTGAACTCAGTGGGGTTTATTATATACTTCTAAGTATGTGGAATCCTAAATATGTAGGATTGTGCTGCAACTGAGTTTGGGGAAGGCACAGCCTTTCAAGTGGGAGAGAATGCCTTTCTTTCTCTTCCAAGTGTATTTGGGAGCCCTCAACACCCTTATGACATCATCAGGTACCTCACTGATTTCCTCCTCCTTCTCCCAGGCTGACTAGCCATCCTAGCAAAAGGCAGAAGCTGCCATCACAGGGTTAGGGGGTCAACAACCCCCTTGCAAGCCCAAAGAGGGCCCCACAACCAGAATGACTAGCAATACCTACATCTTCATCTTGCGTTCGAGGGCTACTGCATCCAGATTATCCCTAGTGCTTTAAAGGCCATGACACCCATGGGCCACGATCCTGCAAAAGTTAAGCTGTTTTATTTTTTAATTAAATCCCATTCATTTCAATAGGAGACATTTAGGCTTCAGTGCTATATCTACTTATTTGGGAGCAAATTCAATGAGTTCAGTGGAGCTTACTTCTGAGTAGGCATGCCTACAAAGAAGAATTAAACATGTGCCTAACTCTTTGCTTTTGAGTGAAAGGGTACATAAAGTAACCCTCTTCAACCTTATGCCAGCATTCCCCAATCAGCTGTGGGGTTGTAGCCCAGTACATCTGGATGACATAAAGCTGGGGAAAGTTGTTTTAAAGTTTGGTTGAATTAAGCCCTGAATGTAGATATCTGCACGTAGATATCTGCAGCAAACAGAGATGGCAATCCTGGAGCAGTTGCCACCTGTCCTAGAAATAATGGGCACCTGATCCTAACATAAACAAAAAAGATGGAATTACTGCTAGTGTCCAGAAGCAGTGATGAAAATACAAACTTAGCTTTTCCTTCAGTAAAGCAAAGGAAGGGAAACCCAAGGGTTCAAATGAACATGCAAACTGTGCAAAAGTATTCGTATTCTCCAGGGACTCACATGCCACCACAACAGTTTGATCAGAGATATGAACATAACTGCAGGCATATTTAACTCTGGACCAAGATGGGGTGGCCACCACCAAAAATGCATTGCTGATTATGTTAGCAGTCAAGCCTCACCTGCCCTGACCCTGGAAAAGAGAGGTGTTTTAGCGTTTTCTTCCAGACCTTGATTTTTTTTAATACGGCCTTTGTGTCTCTGTTCCATAATTGAAAAAAATAAATAAATAAAAATAGTGCTGCATTTTCAGCTGAATTTGTTTCTCTTTCTTTTATCTGATGACTGGAAACTTGCCTGACTTTTTCTTCTTTTTCTTTGTTTAAGGTAGAAAATTCTGGAGAAGAATGAATTAAAGGACCTCTTTGCCCTGGCATGCCTGCCTTGCACTGCCGATGGAAGACTTTGCAGATGCATTTTGTAATGAAAAAAGGCTAAGAATTGTGCAACTTCAGGATGCTGAATTCTGGCAGTAGCTTCCTACCCTTCGTGCCCCGTCCCCACCCCCTTCTCCCCTTCTCCAAGGTTGCTTTCCCAACCTCCGAGAGGAGGCAGTGGGGTTCTTCCAATGCCAACTATGAAGACAGGGATCAGAGCTCCAGCTCCCAGTTCCAGGGTTAGGATGCTATGTCCAGTCAGGAAGATGGGAATCTGAACAAGTCTGGGAATTAGGGTTCCAGACACTGTCTGGGGGCCATAAATTCATTCCCTGTGCACATTCAGTTAGAAGCATGTTCCACTGATTTCCACTGAATGACAATTCCAACTACAACTGAGAAAAATGTTCATGCATAGCACTTAACAAGTGTGCAAAGGGCTGACATGTGGACCAGGAGTGGAGAACCCATGGCCTTCCACTTACCCGTGGATTGCAATCACCCTCATCCCCACTGGTCATAATGGGGATGAGGGCGATTGCAATCCAGGGGTCCTCCCACTGGTAATAATGACTGGGGCTGATGGAAGTTGGACTCCAGCAAGCATTAGAGGGCACTGATGCTCCAGTCCTGTATGCAGACTGTGAAATTCACATGATTCAGACTTGAGAAGCAGTCTCAAATGAGTGAGAATGGGGCAGGGTCAGCAAAACCAAATAATTCAAATAAAATGCTAAAACTGAAACAAATACCAAATTGTCTCTGTGAATCTCTTTCTCCTTTATCCATGCTACAAAAATTGCCTACATATCCTTTGGATCTGATGTCATATGTGGAGTTTCTGCTAAGCCTAAAGCAGAAGGCAAAGTGACCCAGACACAGAATTATGATTCCGTGTCCAGACCTCAGATTGTACCAAGGAACTGGCAAAGATCTTTGCTAACAACCGACATGTCTGGTGGGGGTTTGAAGGCTAGCAGATTTTTGTTCATTTCTTCCTTTGTTTTTGTTTCCCTTTGCTGGAACCAGAAGCGTCCGCAATGCAATTCCCCGATCTGCCACCTCTGGGTTTTCTCTGCCATACCTGTATGCAGCAATTTCAATATCAAGCGCCATCTTGACATTGAGGAGATCCTGGTATTCCCTCAGATGACGTGCCATTTCCCATTTTGTGCCTCTCAGTTCGTTTTCCAGCTGTTGAATCGTGTCCTGCAATGAAGACACAGACAGTCCTTTAAGACAGTGATAAGCAAGACATACGTCTGGGTTCAGTGATGAGAGAGTTTGGATGGGGAGTGGTGAAGAAAGCTTGGAATTGGACTCTCTCCCCACCTTGACCAGCCAATAGGAATTAGACATGGATGACCTAAATATCTGCTCCAGAAAACTCAGCCTCAGAGAGTGGGGTCTGGAAGGAACCTCGCTCGCTTGCTTCTTTTGTGTGGAAAGACCTGAAAGGATTCCTGAGGAACTTTAAAAAAAAAATGTCCTCCCCTGCAAAACCAGCCATTCTTATGCATGGAAGGAGCCTTTTCCAACCAGGTGCACTCAAAATATTTTAAGATACAACTCCCAGCCCACCACTGAGCATGCTGACTGGAACTGATAGGAACTGCTGTCTGAAATACCTGGAAGGTATGGAGTCAGGTAAGACTGAGCTAAAGAAGTAAAAATAAGATGCATCCAGTGTTAGGAGAAATATTGTCCTAGACCTACTTTCTCCAGAAGCTGGAATAAACTCATGAGCAGGCAGTGTTAGACTATTTCTGTTCCTGACACCTGTGCCTAAAATCAAAAGAAGCGATGTCTTGGATTGTTATCATTATTCAGGTTTGAGAATCTCCTTTGCATTACTGAAGTTAATAAGTAAGCATTAGAGCCTTCTTAAGTGAGCAATCCCATGCAAGTTTCCACAGAAAACCAGTTAGTATGGCTGGTTGAAGCATCTTGCGGGCTGTTCAGACATATAAAGGATTGTGCGTTGAGCCAATGCATTCACATGTAAACCAGTTCTGGTTTCAGGATTCTACCCATGTAAGTTTCTGTATTATGCTTAACCTATCTATAGATAACTCAGCCAAAATTTAACATGGAGTGCTTAATTGTCTTGTTTTAAAATGTGCTTTCAGAACAATAGATAACCTTCCATTCTTCAAAAGGAATTGATCGTATTCTGGAAATGCGTTCAAAGTTAGTGGTAAGGACATTGCAACCAAACAAACCAACTTATTAAATGATAGAGCATAAAAGTATAAAGGGTGTTGAGCTGGACATAGTTGACAAAAATAAATCCCACTAATCCAGGAATGAGAGAGAGAGAGAGAGAGAGAGGTTTCAGTCCTGACAATGCAGGAAATTTACTTGAGCTAAATTCATTTCCTGGTTACATCTTTAACAATTGCTGATTTCCAAATGCTATGTTCTGGGTTGCTTTGGAACTCATGAAAATTCAACCATTATTAAAGCAATTTGAATGATTAAAGTTTGAGGCAAGGTTGTATATTGGTGGGTAGCAGCAAGAGGCAGAACCTTCCTTTAAAGCAAGTCTGGGTATTTGATTTTAAACCCGGAACCAACGTCCACTGATTTTACAAGAACTGCGGCAGTCAGTGGCTAAGGGCCTACCTGTCACAATGACCCTTGTTTTTCACAGCAATATACTAAAGAAAATGGATGGAAAATACTTCCAGCGCTTCTTTGCTAAAATTGTGGCAGACGCCTAATCTCGTCAGCTTTGATCAAAAGCATTCAGTCCCATCCATTACAATTACATCAGATGGAATTCGGAACTGATTAGCCCTGTATAAAGAGCGTTCTGATTCAAAGTGTTCTTATTTTCTGTATGCTTCCTACTAAGGATAAACATTTGGGGAATAAATGAATATATACATAAAATTCAGCCTACTTCTCTTAAGGCATCCCACTGAACTCAATCTAAGTTTTAAGCATGCATTGCTGGACATTTTCCCTGCATAACTGAATGCCATCCTTAGCAAAAAGAGAAAAGAAAAAAAAACAACCCACACACTTTGAAATTGGGAAAAAACCCACAATTTCTGTGCCATGCTTGGGGCATTAGAGGTGAGTTGAGGCAAGGCAGCCATAAATTCTGATTCATGTCTGGTGTTTGTCTGCATTATGAATTCTGCAATGCCCAATTCTGCATCAGAAATGGCATTGCAGGAGTTTCTATAAAATCAGCGATTCCAGTTTAAATGACATAAGAGCTCTGTGGTTTGCATTGTCCACTTTCAGACTATTTGTCCTACATAATATTTATGTTAAGGGATTCACATCTCCTTTCCTATGTTTTCCCACATGTCCCTCTGCATCGTGCGTGCGCGTTCATTCACCAGCATGACTTGCAGGAGGGCTTCCTAGTGGTAGCAAAGCTCTGCATTGCAGAACTTTGGGGTGCACTTGGCCAAGTGAAATTCCACTCAGGCTGCAGTTTGCCGACTGGCTCAGCAACTTGGCTGCTCCCACAAAAGTTAATTCACTGAGAAACACAAATCATCTCACTTCATCCGTAATTGCAGAGGTGCCTTTCAAGTTTAGACGAGGCGTTTACATATTCCAGTACAGGAACAGTCCAGAGTTGCAGTGCTTGCTTCCCAAAGGAGAAGCATTCTCAGAGAGATCTGCTCAGCAGGGTGCCTTAGAGACTGGTATGGGATGGAAGTTGCATGTCACAGCAAATGCATCAATTTATCGTCATCATTTTAAAAAGCTGATTGTCCAGCTGCTGAATGAATTCTTCTGCATTTTATGATGACTCACCCTGCAGAAGTCCATCCTGATTCCCAGAGATGCACCAGGATGTGGGAGAACAATCTTAATGAAATAATACTAATAACAACAGTGATAAATGAATACCAATAATGTCACTTCAAAATGTTAATTTTCTATTGCAAAACCTCTCTATGCATGGTTTTATTTATTTATTAATGTTTTTAATATTATGCATTTATTTATTAGTTTCGTATCTGACCCTTTTTCTTTTTTTAAGAACTCAAAGCAGCTTACATCATCCCCTCCTGCTGCTCTTAATTTTATTCCCACAACAACAACCCTGTGAGGGAGGCTGGCCCGAGGGTCCCTGACTGGCCCGGAGTCACCCAGTTGGCTCCAGGGCTGAGTGGGGACTAGAACCTGGTCTCACTCTCTTAACCACTGCACCAATGGCTTGATCTTGATCTCTTTACCCTGCAGTATTGAATTTCCCCTTTCACCTTTTATTGTGAATCTCTGCTCTGAATATTGCGATTATTAGATAATGAGCAACTTTGGGAAGCCCGTTGGCCACCAGCCCTCTTTGTCACCCTCACAGTGCTGGCTCTGCAGTGCATCATTTCTCTTCTGGTGCTGCTAGAGGGAACCGTTCAGCAACACACTGCGCCAGTAAGACTTACCGCAATTGACTGAGGACGTCTCTTAATCACCACCAGAACTTTTGCTAGCTAAGTTTGTCAGGCAGCAGCTGGCCAGAGCCAGCCTCAGCCTTGCCTGACTCAGAAAGGAGCAGCTCCTGGACTTTCCTCTGAGCTGGACCACTTTGCTTGACCCCTAAGTCCCACAATCTGAGCAAGCCTGTTTTCCTGGGAGCTTTGGGGAAGCGGGTGGTGCTGGCACTCGTGGCATCCTCTTCCTCCCCTTTCCAATTTGAACTCTGCATTCTGTATGTGGGCAGGGAGACAGACTGCCCTGTCCTACCCTTTAGGGGTGTACAGCAAAGGAGCAGCATGGGGGCAGAGGAGCAGCTCTCTTCCTTCCCCTTCCTTCTCAGTTACATTTCACTAGAAAACCGCACTTCGTCCATGAGTTATGCATTCAACTGAATAACGAGTTTGGTGCAGCTTGAAAACCTTTACACCCGTTCCAGTAAAAAGAAAAGAAAATCTTGGGTGGCCCTAAAAGAAAGTACCATTTACTACCCCCTTTACTTTTTTTTTTTTGGTTTTCAAAATGATGTAAAGCAGATCCTGGCACGGCTTTTGAAGCATTGGTTACCCTGCTCCAAGAATCCCCCCTCCCCACTGTCCAGCTGCAAACGGGCAGATCGGATATCCTTCGGAGAGAACATTTTAGAGAAGACAGAAGCGGGGGGGGGGGGAATCCCCCCCCCCCCCCCCCATCATGAAATGTACAGCCTGCAGGTTCGGGGTTTCCCAGTCTCCCGCATCTGCGGAGATCCGCTAGGAGAGGGGAGGGGTGCCCACTGTTCATTGGCAGAGGCAGCCTGGGGGAGATGCGTAAAGGGGAAGGGGGCGTGAACTTCTTCCTGAATAACCTGCTTCTGAAAAAGAAAAGCCGTATATTTCATATTAACATTTCCACTTCAGATATTTTTTCCTGCAAAGTCCTCTTGATTTCAATGACATTTCAAGGAAGCATACTTAATACGGTGGATCCAGTTTATTAGTCAGCTAATAATTACCTGTGGAAGAAAGCTATTCCTTCGAGAAACCACACGAATCCAGGAACGGGAGGGCGGGGGTGGGGTGGGGAGGGCGACGACCCCATCCCCAGATGCGCCTCGCCTTCCCGCCCCAGCTGCATAAACGCGGGCTTAACCCTTCCCCCGCCGTCGCGCGTGTGCGAGGGCGTGGAGGGGAAAGGGGGGCGTCTCCCGCTCCCCTGCTACGCCCACAGCCTCCCAGTGGCAGATGCGCCGGGAAAGTTCGCAGGCTTGAATCCCCGTCCTTTTGCCGGTACGCGCACGGCGGGACCCACGGCCTGACTCGGTGCACGCAGCGCCCGCCGTCCCCGGAGCCGGCAGCTCCCCGGGGGCTCCCCTGGAGCAGCCCAAGCCCCCCCCCGCCCCGCCCCGCGCCCTACCTGGTAGGTGGAGAGGTCGTGGTTGTGGCGCTCCTCGATGTCGGAGATCTGGCGCTCCAAGGACTCCTTGGTGCCGCGGACGGACTCGAGCTCGATGCTCTTGGCCTGGAGCTGCCGCCGGTACTCGGCGATCTCCTCCTTGGCCGAGCGGATGGCCTCCTTGTTCTGCTCGGCGGCCTCGGTGAGCTTGGCGTAGCGGCACTTGAACCACTCCTCGGCCTGGAGCATGTTCTGGTCGGAGTGGCACTCGAGCTGCGAGCGGATCTCCTTGAGGGCGGCCGAGAGGTCCGTCTTCAGGTAGTCCTTGCGCTCGACGGTGACGTGCGAGGCCTGGATCTGGGCCAGCAGGTCGGCCACCTCGTCCTCGTGGGTGCCGCGCAGGAAGGCCACCTCGTCCTGCAGCGACTGCACCTTCTTGTCCAGCTCGACCTTGACCATGGACGCCTCCTCGATGTCCTTGCGCAGGGCGCGCGTGACGGCCTCGACGTCGTCGCGGAGGCGCGCCTCGTCCTCGAAGCGCTCCTTGAGGCGCTGGATGTCCTCCTCCAGGTGCTCGGAGTCGAGCTGCAGCGCCGCCTTCTCGTGGCCGACCTGCTCGAGGGCGCGGCGCAGCTCGCGCAGCTCCTGCTCGAAGGCGTCGCCCAGCTGCGCGCGGCCGGCCTGGCGCTGGCGCAGCGCCGCGATCTCGCGCTCCAGCTCCGTGTTCTGCTGCTCCAGCGAGTGCACCTTCTCAATGTAGCCGGCGAAGCGGTCGTTGAGGCCCTGCAGCTGCTCCTTCTCGTTGGAGCGGCTCAGCTTCAGCTCGCCGCCGGCGCCGTTGAAGAGCGACGACTGGCTCAGCTCCAGGCTCTCGGAGGAGCTCAGCACCGTGGAGCCGTAGGAGGGCCGCGCCGCCGCCGCCGCCACGTTGCGCTTGTAGGACGAGGACACGGTGCTGGGCGAGCTGCGCGACCATGACTGCGAGCGGAAGCCGCTGGACGGCGACACGCTGGCCCGGCTGAAGGTGGTCCGGCTCTCGGCCACCCGCCGGTAGGACGGGTTGCCGAGCGGCTCCAGCGTGTAGCTCATCTTGGAGGACTGGGCGAGGGCGCGTGGCGCGGGTTCCGGCAGCGGAGGATCTGCGGACGGCGCCGCCTTATATATCGGAGCTGCACGTTGGGCTCGGGAGGGGGCGCGACCGCCGGCTGACGCGGCCAGGACGGGGCGCGGGCGAGGCCCCTCCCCCGGCAAGCCACGCCCCCGCCACGCTCTCCCCCCCACCCCCAGAAAGAGGCAGCCGGCGCTCCTGGCCCCTTCCATTCATAAACCCCTCCTTCCGCCCGCCTCCCTGGGCCGCGCTTCTCTCTCCCCCACCCCCGTTTCTGCACGGGATGCCCGCGCTGGCTGCACAGTAAGTCCCACCAAGGGCTGGTCTTCGCTGACAGCAGCCATTGCTCCCCCATTTCTCTCCCCAGCCGCGCTTTTTATCCAGCCCGCCCCCGCATTTCTCCCTCCTTTTGCCTTTCTTTGCATCGCTCCGTCCCTTCCTTCCGCTTCTTTGCCCTCCCCCCCTCCCCTCCCTTCCCCTCCCCCGCAGGACTTCGCTTCTGCCAAGCCGCGGGGGTCGCCCCCAGAAGGCGGCGGCGGCGGCACGAAAGGGCGTGGGTGGGGCCAGCCCCCCCCCCAGCCATCCGGCCACCCGCCTGCCTGGGGTCTGGGTGATCGGGCGCGAGGTGGGGGCTGTCGCGCTGGAGGATCAGGTAAGGCGGTGCTTCTTGTCTGCGCTAGTCATGGCGGCGTTCAGCACCAAGGCCAGCGCCACGGGCAAACGGAGGGCGCGCCGGCGAGGCGGAGCAAGCGGGGGCGCCTCCGCTGCGCCCGAGGAATGCCCCCGGCGGGACCGGCAAGCCCGCGATCGGCCCGCCGCGGGACCCGAGCCCGCTGCTCCCTCCGCAGTGGCGAGCGGCAGAAAGACCCGCTCGCCAAAAGGGGAGCTCCCTCCCGGCCGGCCGGCTTCCCAGCAGGGAATCTCTCTCTCTTTTCAAAAAGTGAACCAATAGAGCAGTCATCCGCCCACCCCTTTTGCATTAAAGAGGATTTCCTGGAAACCAAGAAAACAGTGAAATGCCTCTCAAGGGCTTGACATTGAAAGGTCAGACGGAGCGCGGCAGGCGAGGGGTGCGGGGAAGGACCCCTTTCCGGTGCCAGGGCTGCCACGCAATGGCTGGCGCGGTTGAGGGACTGGGAAGGAAGGGCACGACTGGAGACCCGGTCGGTTGCAGGCGGAGATGCTGCAGTCTGGAGAGAGAGCATTCCAGGATGTATATTTTCAGCAACGCTGAATCACATTCTTTAGAATAATAGCTCCCACACGCCAATCCAACACGTTTTGTCTTTGCCACCCACAGTGCGCTATTAAGTACCCAACCCATGACTTCATTCTAACATAGATATGGTATTAAAAAGACAGCAATCTTGCACACCGTTCCTTAAACTGCATGGAGCAGGACAGATTTTGGCATCATGATTGGCAGGACTGGGTTGCAGAATATGTCATTTTACTGGGGCAGACCCAGCCCCCCCCCTCCCCACCCTCGGTTTGAGAGCTCTCCTACTGAACCTGGGGAGTCTAGTATAACAAATGCACAGCATTAAACTTCTGGAACCAGTATTTTATTTCCTGGACTTTGAGTGGGAGGTGTTATGTAGAAGTGAAAAATCATTGCTCAAAGGGATAAACAGTAAGCATGCACCCCCCCGCCCCCTCACCACCACCCTGGTCGCCAAAATGCTGATACACTTCCAGACATTCCTTAAACCACCTTTGTCCAGAACCCAGTCCCTCTTGCATTTGGTACCGCTCATTCCCAGGAACCAGCACCTTAGAACAGAGGCTCACTCAGACTTGCTTTACAGACCCTGCAGGTTTCTGAGAAAAAAAATCTGCTGCACCGTGCTACACTTTCCTGGTCGTGAGTCCCTTTCCTGCTTTGTTCTTGTACCAAATGCTGTGGCTTTGCTTCATGGCATTTTTCCTCCTCTTCCTCCTTCTCCCAAAGTTGGAAGGGCAAGTGGCAAACTTTTCAAGCAAAAGGAAGCCCCTGCTGCTGCTGGCTCATTAATATGGTGCTGTCATAGAAATGCAGCACTGCAGTCAGTGGAAAGGGGAAACGGAGGCAGGCGTCTTCAGGACTTTTGCTGAGTTGTGTTTGCAGGGGGAGCCTGCTAAAATCCACTGTTTGATCTCCTTCTTCCAAATTATCTGATAAGAAGGATACTTTTTAATGACTAAATATTAAACTTTTGTCTATTAAACATTCTTCTCTTATTCCCCCTCCCCCATGAATTTGACAAGCCTGGCTCATAGTGTCATGAGTTGGGTGGGGTGGGAAAAACATAGAGAGGGCGAAATTAGGGTCTTTCTGCAGTTCCTGGGATAGCTGGACTTCTGCTCCAGGCAGGAAGATATTTATGACAGCACAAGAATTAAACTGGAACAAAGAAAGAATGCACAAGTATTTTGGTTCTACAAGAAGTATTCTAATGAGTAAGAAAGTAATATGCCTTGCAAGATGTGTAAGGTTAGGCATCAAGATCTTTAAACCTGCAATCCTATTTGTATTCAATGAACTTTACTTCTGAGTAAAAGAAAAGGCATATTTTGGGACCAGACAGCTGAAATTCAATGCAGACATACTCAGCTGGGTTTGTTTCTAAATTATGCATGTGTGATAAATTCAGATGTCTCTTTTAAGGCAAGGCAAGGCAAAATGTGGTTGCTACTTCATCTTTACTCGGAATTAAGTGCCCTAGATGTCAGTGGAACTTCTGATTGTGTGCTTATTATATCAGTCCAGACTGGCATGGGTCCAACTACTCAGGATTAGCTGGGTGATGAATGTGCCTTTTCATTTAATTTAAACCAAAATAAATTCAGAATAAAAAGAGAGGGAAAGTGACAAACTGGGGCTCCAGTTTTTATTTAAAGAATGCCATGATATTGAACAACGGATGGATAGTTGCCCACAAGAAAAATCTTCCTAGCAAATGAAGGGGAAAGTTAAAAATGACAGTGCAAGGTGATCCTGCAGAAAAGTTCCTGAGCTATAGCATGATTTCACAATTAAATGTCCTCTTTTTTGCATCAAGTAACCTGATGTATCAATGACCTGAACTGCATCAGACTCACAACAAAATGCTTATTCACCTTTTATTTACCTGTAAAATTTGAAAAGCTGTACTTTTCTAACCTTTCAATGCAGCAAATTGTTCCTTTCAAAATGGTATTATGTGAGTGGATCTGTCATTTCCAACCTACATTTTTAGAGTATTGTTTGCTTCAGAACAAGTGAATTGTAACTTATTGCTGAAAGGAGTTTATATTTATGCAAAATTAAATACAGAGCAATTTCATCAAGGAAGAAAATGTATGCAAACTGTCTTCTTTTCAACAATATGTTTTTCTTATAACATGAAATCAGGTCCGTAAATAAATGGCTGGATGAAAGTCCTTTCCTTATATTTTAATGAAGGTGATTTGAAGGTTAACCTCAATTGGTGGGCTATTTTTATATAACTTTGTAGGAAACTGGTTCCTGTGCACTGTAATGTACGTGATGGGAAACCTGGATGCTTGGTTGTCTGCAATGGGATTTAAACAACCCAACCACATTCAGGATGGCATCAAGGGTACCTTTGTAGTTCTGGAACTTTTCCATGTTCAATTCCAATGCTCAGAATCAGATTTAGTCCTACTTAGATGATCAACACATCCCATGGATTTCAGTGGGTCTACTCTAAGTAGCAATACATCTGGATCCAGCTGATCGACTTGGGAGAAGGACCTGCTGTTTATCTACTTGCTATGCAGCATGCCTTGTAGTCTTGTCAAGAATTTTCAACTTCAACATTTATTTATTTGTTTGTTTATTTATTTACATGGGGGAGGAAGACAACATCCTGGCAAAATAGTGCCTAATATGCTAAAGGGAAGGGTTCGTCTGAAGAAGGTCAGCTATGAAGGTAAAGGGTGAATAACAGCACATCTCAATGGAAAGACAGGGAGCTTGTCTGACCGTGTCCATCCCTCCTTCCTGTTTTAAGATGGGCAACAGATGACCACAGATCAATTGTCAAGTGTGTGCCTTGCACGCCAAGTCTCTCCATTCAATCTTGTATACTCCAGTTAAAAGAATCAGGTTATCAAGGGATGCTGGAGTTTTCTGCTCAAGAGATCTGCTGTCAGTCAGGTGGACAACACTGGGCCAGCCACACAAATATCTGATCTGATCTGAAAACTCCTGTGCGTCCTGTGGTCCTCCAGAAAAAGGCTCATACTTCACCAGGTTAAATCCCTGGCATCTGCAGCTCAAAATGTTCCATCCAGTAGCAAATAATGTGAAAGATGGGCATTTGAAACTCTGGATGTTGCTGCCAGTCAGGTACAGGGATGAGGGACATGTCCTTCTCTGGATGTTGCTGGACTCTAATTCCATCATCCCCATCACTATCAGCTAAGGATAATGGAAGCTGCAATTAGAAACATAGAAACTGAGCGAGTCAGAAGGGGTCTCCCAGGCCATCTAGTCTGACCCCCGGCTCCAGCCGGCTCCACTCATGACATGCCCATCATGTGCATGTCTAGCCTATCCTCGAACACCCGCACCGATGGGGCCTCAACGACCTCCCCTGGAAGCCCATTCCACACCCTTGGGGTCCTCACTGTCAGGAAGGCCTTCCCGGCATCCAAACTGAACCTTGGTCCCCTGAGCTTGGCTCTGTTAGAGCGCGTCCTGCCTTCCTCTGCAGGGGAGAACAGGTCTCCACCCACCTCCGTGTGACACCCTCTTATGTACCTGCATGTCACCAACCTGTAGTTCAGCAACATCCCTTTGTCTATACATTCTCCATCCCTAGGCTAGAGGGCTAACTAGTTGAAGATGCTTTAAGGAGGCTTCTTGAGTTACCAGGAATAGAACAAGCTGAAAGTGCGTCATTTTAACTCAACCCTCCTTTTTTAACAAGCTAGTCACTGGGAGCCAGTATAACATAGTGGTTGGAGAGACAAAATAGGACCCAGGGGGTCAGGG